CCATTCTTTTTAGGTGATAAATCTGAGGAACTGTCCCAGATTGAAGTATCATTAGAGGAGGTTTTGGAACAAATTGATAAACTAAACAGTAATAAGGTCACCAGGACCAGATGGTATTCACCCGAGAGTTCTGAAGAAACTCAAATGTGAAATTGAAGAACTACTAACTGTAGTCTATAACCTATCATTTAAATCAACTTTTGTACCAAATGACTGGAGGATAGCTAATGTGATGCCAATTTTTAAAAGGGCTCTAGAGGTGATCATGGCAATTACAGGACAGTAAGCCTGATTTCAGTACCAGATAAACTGGTTGGAACGATAGTAAAGAACAAAATTGTCAGACACATAGATGACCATAATTTGTTGGGGAAGAATCAACATGTTTTTTGTAAAGGGAAATCATGCCTCACCAATCTACTAGAATTCTTTGAGGGGGTCAACAAGCATGTGGACAAGGGGGATTCAGTGGATATAGTGTACTTAGATTTTCAGAAAGCCTTCGACACAGTCCATCACCAAAGGCTCTTAAGCAAAGTAAGCTGTCATGGGATAAGAGGGAAGGTCCTCTCATGGATTGGTAACTGGTTAAAAGATAAGAAACAAAGGGTAGGAATAAATGGTCAGTTTTCAGAATGGAGAGAGGTAAATAGTGGTGTCCCCCGAGGGTCTGTATTTGGACCAGTCCTATTCAACATATTCATAAATGATCTGGGAAAAGGGGTAAACAGTGAGGTGGCAAAATTTGCAGATGATACACAACTATTCAAGATAGTTAAGTCCCAGGCAAACTGCAAAGAACTACAAAAAGGATCTCACAAAACTGGTGACTGGGCAACAAAATGGCAGATGAAATTCAATGTTGATAAATGCAAAGTAATGCACATTGGAAAACATAATCTCAACTATACATATAAAATGATGGGATCTTAATTGGCTTTTACCACTCAGGAAAGAGATCATGGAGTCATTGTGGATAGCTCTCTGAAAACATCCACTCAATGTGCACTAGCAGTCAAAAAAGCGAACAGAATGTTGGGAATCATTAAGAAAGGGATAGATAATAAGAAAGAAAATATCAGATTGCCTCTATATATATCCGTGGTGCGCCCACATCTTGAATACTGCTTGCAGATGTGGTTGCCCCATCTCAAAAAAAATATATTGGAACTGGAAATGGTTCAGAAAAGGGCAACAAAAATTATTAAGGGTATGGAATGGCTGTCATATAAGGAGAGATTAATAAGACTGGGAGTTTTCAACTTGGAAAAGAAACGACTAAGGGGGGATATGATAGAGGTCTATAAAATCATGACTCGTGTGGAGAAAGTAAATAAGGAAGTGTTATTTACTCCTTCTCATAACACAAGAACTTGGGGTCACCAAATTAAATTAATAGGCAGCAGGCTTAAAACAAACAAAAGGAAGTATTTTTTTCAGACAACAAACAGTCAACCTGTGGAACCCCTTGCCAAAGGATGTTGTGAAGGCCAAGACTATAACAGGGTTCAAAAAAGAACTAGATAAGTTCATGGAGGCTAGGTCCATCAATGGCTATTAGCCCAGATGGGCAGGGATGGTGTCCCTACCCTCTGTTGGCCAGAAGCTGGGAATGGGTAACAGGAGATGGATCACTTGATGACTACCTGTTCTGTTCATTCTCTCTGGGGCACCTGGCTTTGTCATTGTCAAAAGACAGGATACTGGGCTACATGGACCTTTGGTCTGACCCAGTAGGGCCGTTCTTATAATTCCCTTAACATAGTCTAATTTTTTTTTAATGTTATACAGGTCCACAAATGAGATAGTAATGCCCTTGGGCCACTAAAATATGATGTTGTGCATCAAGAAAGGTACCCAGTTCTCCTTTCTCACACCTAAATAAGTGGCCTGATTTTCAAAAATTGTGAGCACCAAGTAATTTACAACAAAGTCAGAAGACTAGCACAAGGCCTATGCACTACTTAATTCTGATTTAAACACTGTTTTGAAGATTTTGGTGGAATCTAAGCTTTGTACTGCTATCCATGTAGCCTTTGTGTCCAATATGAGAGGAAAAGAGCCTCTTGAGAGGAAAAGAGCCTCACACAATATTTATCATCAGCAAAAAACTGGATACACAAGATTTTTTTCTAATATTCAATTACAGAAACAAATGTAAAAAAAGTGAGTAAATTGAAATAACTGCTTCTAGAATGGAAATTTAAGGCACTTATCTTTTCCTCTTGTTTTCTTTTAGCTTGAAGAAACAAATACACTCACCACACCATCTAGTAATGTAAACCATAACAAGAAGCTTGTTAGCTTTTTTCCTTGCTATGAGACCTTGGCTCCACAGATTAAATAAATATTGAGTCCTGCTCTCTGCTTCCCAGGAAGAGAGTGATACACAGATGATTGTCAGTTTGCTGCCTTACATTTGAGCTCTTTTTAAAATGTTCCCACTTGATTTGAACTGTCCACCAATCTGTCATCTAGAAATTTTAAATTCTGTTTATGTACTATAAGATCTAGAACATTTTGCACATTGCTGCTACACCACCTTCCAGCTAGAACAACGAACACAAATTTACTGGGAAAACCTATTCCCAGCACTGTTTAAATATCATTGGTTCTGGTACAGAAGCAACAAAGTGAATATATGACTGAATTCTGCAAAAAAAAATGTTTAGATGTAGTTTTATGCTTCATGGAAAAAGTGAAAGATCCATCTGGACTGGGTTTTAAACTGAGTTAGTGGAATCACTTTATAAAAAGATTTGTCAACAGTTCCTGCTAACCCATATTAAATACAGTTTGCCTTTTTGATCAGCTGGTGTACATTGATGTACCTTCACTGACTTTATAGAACTACACCAAGTTACACCAGCTAGTTAGTTGGCCCCATGTCTACAGTCTAGAACAATTTTTAAAACACAGTTTGAAACTAGATCTGCCAAGTCCATAATGTCCAGGCAAACTTTTTAAAAACCATTTAAACTGGATCATTTTTAATCCATGTTTTGAAAAAGCTCCATTAACTTCCTTTGGTCTCAGAGAGTACCTTTAAATCCCACTATACACATCAAAATCAGCAAAGACTACAGTTATATTTGCAAGCTTCTAAACAATGTAAATATTTTATTTAAAAACTTCAAAAATACTTCAGAGTATCACTTTGAAATCAGATATACCAGCAGCTACTTACGTACAAGTATTATGACTGTTGGTGCTCAAAAGAGGAACAATTCGGGTATTTTAAAATCTTTTTGGATGTAAATGGTCTTATATTTCAGTTTTTTCTTCCAATTTTATGCAAACACAATAAAACTAACTAAATAAGCTACACACACAAAGGTAAGTCAAAGTCAATCTAATTTAGATATGGTGCTCACATTGCCTATTTATTCCTCTGGAGATAAACAGATAACATTTTCCAAAATGTATAATATACATAAACTGAAAGAAACAATTTGTTTTTGTTAAAAGCTGACATACAGCACCTTTACATATACTTGCAAATGTGAATTTGCCTGCACAAACTGAGTTGTTAAACATGCCATTAGCTGATCATCTTCTATAAACAGCTGCACACCAATTCTGCTTGTGCATAAATCTGCAATATTTTGGGCTACAGGTAGAGGAATCTTTTCTTTCAACCTCAGTTCCTCTGCTTAACACATTAGGAATTATTTCACTTTCTCTGGAGCCCCAATCTTGACTAAAAATAATATCAAGGTACTGGATATCACTTGGGAGATCACTGATTGAATCTCAAGAATCACTCCACTGACTGGGTTACTGTGTCCTCTGTTAACTGCAAGATCAGCATATGACTGTATAAGAGAGGTTGTGTTTGTCAGTGCTGATGATAAACCTATGTAATTGCAGGGTGAACAGACAGATATGTCAAAACTTTGGTGGCTGCTCAGGTGCAATCCAGGACAAAGATGTAGTTTAGGAATAGGTACATGTGCCTACCCTGGTCTTGCAATTGCACTGTGTCCAGGTCTGTTGTCCACAATTCAAGAAGGATGTTATGTTGATAAATTAGAGAGGATTCAGAGAATGGCCACAAGAATGAATAAAGAATTAGAACACCTTCCTTATAGGGATCGACTCAAGGAGCTCAATCTATTTAGTTTAACAAAGAGAAGATTAAGGGGTAACTTGATTACAGTCTGTAAGTACAAATATTTAATAATAGAGTCTTCAGTCTAGCAGAGAAAGGTTTAACTTGATGCCAGGGTTGGAAGTTGAACCCAGACAAATTCAGATTGGAAATAGGGCTTAAATTTTTAACAGTGAGGATAATTAACCTTTGGAACAACTTACCAAGGGTCATGGTGGATTCTCCATCACTGATGATTTTAAAATCAAGATTGGATGTTTTTTTCTAAAAATATCTGCTCTAGGAATTTTGGGGCAGGAGGGGGAGTTCTGTGGCCTGTGTTATACAGGAGATCAAACTAGATAATCACAATGGTCCCTTCTGGTCTTGGAATCTACAAATCTATTAATAGTTCTTCCATAAAATAGCCAATAATAAAATCAATGATTAACTGAACAGCATCTAATAAAATTATTATAAACATTTAGCAACTACATCTCCTCAGGCTATAAACATTCTTATAGTAATAAATTACAACTTTAGTTAACAAATATGAAATTACATATAATACATGACAGCATAATATTCTTATTGAGAAATAAACAGGTGTTTACATTCTTAACATCAATACAAAAGAAACATAACAAAAGCTGAAGGGCTGGCACAGGGGGGGAGTGTTCTAAAGAGATCCCCTCTAATCTCAGTGAAGAGATAAGTACACTACGTAACCAAAGGGAGTATTTTTCCATGTATTATGTTACGTACGTACCCCCAAAAGCTACATAAATTAAAGCTGTAATTCCATCTGAGGGTTATGGTAACACAATGTCACCGGAACTCCCCAATGAAACTGCAGTGTTAATATGTGCAGTGTGGAGTACCTTAATTCTTATAATGCTTTGTTTACTACAAATAGTGTTATATTTCTGTTGCAGCATAAAAAGAATCAATGAAAAATAAAATAAAATGTAATAAATGTCCTCAGGTTGCTCATTCACATTTTTGAGCAATGCACATTAATATTGCAGCAATGACACAATATTCCTCCTTTGAAACCATTATCCAGTCAATACAAATGCAGAAGAAACACAATCCCTTCACTATTAGTGTAGTGCTTCTTTTCAGCACCAATACAATGTTTCAAAATGTATTACAAAAACTCCCATTGCAATTGATGAGCTTTGTATGCTAACAACAATACATACATAATCTCTAACAGAAACATTAATATTAGACATAAAGGGCTATACTCTTGATCCCAGAGAGATGCCTTATTGAGATTGGTGATGATTTCCCCCAACAGAGAGGAATCCTCAGGTAGCACAGAGTGTACCAGAACCATGTCAGAGCACAAAGGGCTCTGCCTGATCCTCTGACAACACAGTCCCAAGAAGACTGTTCCAGCAAACAAGAGCTACTACTATCAGCTCTTGGCTTCCTTAAATTACAATAGAGGCCATTTCAGCCCAGAGCCAGCTCAGGATTAGGGGACTTGAAAGGATTACACTCTGGCACAGCTAAGGAGCTGCCCCAAGACATCAATTAACACTTAGCAGTGTGCATACAAATCAATCCTCACAACATCACTGTTAAATATTATTATTCCCATTTTACAAATGGGAGAAATTGAGACAGAGGGGTTAAGTGATTTATTTAAGGCAACAAAACAAACCATTGATAAAATTGAGTTAAACCCAGCTTTCAGTCCCATGCTTAATCCATTAGACCATGCTGCTTCTCTTCAAGCTATTTGTATCATTAGTGTTCTGTGAGAAACCAGTTTTGGAACATGCTGGGCATTTCCAGGAAGTTCCTCGGAGCCCTTGATACCCGCTGACTTTGATGGGAGTCTTTGAGGGATTTCAGCACCTAAGTGGAGATGTTCAGTATCTGCCAGGGCCTAAGGATAGACACTGGGGTTACACAGGTGTACATGAAAGCAGAATTCTCTCCTCTGATGTAACTTACAGCAGCCCAAGGGCTAATTGCAGTTGTGTTTGCTGCAGTGGTTCCATCAGGACATGTCAACGTCAGCTAGTCAGTAGCAGAATTAGAAATAGAATCTAGGAGCTTCTAGCGCCAACTCTAGGGTTGCCAACTTTCTGATTTCAGAAAACCAAACACTCTTGCCCTGCCCCTTCTCTGAGGCCCCACCCCCACTCACTCCATTCTCCCTCCCTCCAACACTCGCTTTCCCCACCTTTGCTCACTTGCTCATTTTCACCAGGCTGGAGCAAGGGGTTCGGGTACAGGACGGGGTGAGGGCTCCGGCTGGGGGTGCAGGCTCTGGGGTGGGGCCGGGGATAATGGGTTTGGGGTGCAGGAGGGGGTTCTAGGCTGGGGGGGTTGGGCCAAGGAGTTTGGAGTGTGGGAGAAGGCTCCGGGCTGGGGCAAGTGGTTGGGGTTTGGGGGGGTGAGGGCTCCAGCTGGAGTGTGGGCTCTGGGATAGGGCCGGGAATGAGGGGTTTGAGGTGCAGGAGGGGGCTCTTGGCACAGGCCGAGGGGTTCAGAGTGAGGGGTTGGGGTGCAGGAGGGGGTGCAGGCTCCAGTCGGTGCTTACCTCAGGCAGCTCCCGGAAGCGACTGGCATTTCCCTCTGTTTCCTAGGCGCAGTGGTGGCCAGGGGGCTCTGCGCACTGTCCCCGTCCACAGGCGCCGCTCCCACAGCTCCCATTGGCTGCAGTTCCTGGCCAATGGGAGCTGTAGAGCTGGTGTTCAGGGCAGCACCTGTGCTGTGGGCTCACCGCCCCTGCACCTAGGAGCTGGAGGAACAGGCTGGCCACTTCCAGGAGCCGTACGGAGCCAGCCATTGTGATCAATGGGTTTTTTAGTAGCCTGGTTAGCTGTGCTGACTGAAACCACCAGAGTCCCTTTTCGACCAGGCATTCCAGTCGAAAACCAGATGTCTGGCAACCCTGTCATCCTCAGGCCATTAGCCTGTGCCTCTTTCTCAAAAGTTAACTTATCTGACAAACAAAGCAGATTTGATCTAAATGTCAACAGGCTGTTATACCAGGCTGCTGAATACAGCTGAAAAGAGGCACAACCCCCCCTCCCCCAAACAAGTCACTAATATTTCTGCTCTTAATTAAAAGGCTCCATGAAGGCACACACATTTTTCTTCAAATTAATTTTTATAATTATTTAAAATAAAAGATTTCCTTTCCAAGATTTTCCTAGAATTTGCCTTCAATAAAATAAGGAAAATGTGTGGCCTAAACAGATTGTCAATATCCCTGTAAACCAGAAGATTGATAGTTTTTTAAAAATTAAAGTTATTCAGAAACCTAGCATTGAATTTAAACCCTTACTGCCCTCAGCCAAAAGGAAGAAAGAAACCAATAGTTTTTTTTTAAACTTGGAGTAGTATTTGTAACTAAGTGCGTTGCATAAGGAGGTGTGGGAAGATAAAGTTAAATATTGCAAAAATCAAAAGGTTAAACATTAAACCCATTCTAACTACTACACATAAAGAATGTGAAGATCTTAATGGTCTGCTAAAGCAAACTAAGCACAAGCATAGACGACATGTAAATGAACACATTTTTTCTGTAGACCAGAAGAATTCCTAGATTTCTGAATACATTTCCTTTATAACAAAATGCTAAAAGCAATGACTTTTTGAAATTATAAAAAACAAACCAAAACACACTACTCCAAACCTCTCCCCTTCCCAAAACTGATAAAGCAGGAGCTAGAATTGCAATAACAATTTCACTGTTCTTCAATCCATTTGAAATCAAACTCAACTTCCAGACTTACAGCTTGATCCACACCGGCCCCTTTCACTTGTGTAGAGCCCTACTGAAATCAGTCAGGCTTGACATAATCACAGAGGTCCAGCTCTGTAGAGCATCTTGCAAAATCTGGGCCTTAGATCCTGTTCTTGCACTTCTGGGTAAACCCCCCAGAGAAGTCAATAGGGCAAAAAAAGAAGTGTCTTTCATGAACTAAAAGTGGCCTGCTTGTAATTTTTACCAGCAGGCAAACCAGGGAAAGCATTGTTAATATTAATGCCACTACATTCTATCCACTCATATTCACTCTTCAAACACACCAATTTTTTTGTTTATTTTTTAAATCTAGCCAGCAAGGAGTGAAACCATGGATAAAAAGGTGCCCTTCATATTAAGCAGTAGGGATGCAATGTCAGCAAAGGAGTGATCTTGCTAGCCATAGATCTCTCATCACCCTACAAAGAGATTTTGAGTTACTTGCTACAACTCAACAAAGGGAGGTAGCTCAGTGGTATGAGCATTAGCCTCTTAAACTCATGTTTGTGAGTTCAATTCTTGAAGGAGCCACTTAGGAATCTGGGGCAAAATCAGTACTTGGTCCTGTTAGTGAAGGCAGGGGCTGGACTCAATGTCCTTTCAGGGTCCATTCCAGCTCTATGAGATAAGTATAGCTCCATATATATTTTTTTATTATTTTTAAATACCAGAGCACATAAAGGAGCTCAGAAAAGCAGCAGATTAATAAACTAGATTTTCACCTCTAGAGATCTGAATTCAAATCCTGATTAACAGTGAATTTCTTACGCTCTTCTCAAAGCTAGTGGACATGTATCACAAGATACTATTCAGTTACAAAACAGAAAAAATGGAGATTTAGGTAGGTTGCAAATTACAGCCACTGCTTTGGAAAAGCACTGAGAGATTTAACTATAGTATTTGAATCTTTCCACCCACCTGCAATGTTGTTTTTTCTCATTATCCTATAATCTCCTAAATAAAATCAAAACTTCAGAGCAAAGAATATAAATTGTGTTTGTGGAGCTGTTAAAATCTTTTGGGGCTTTTTATTTAAAATATTAAACTGGAATGCAATCAAATTATATTCCCTCATTTGGAGCAGATTGGAAGGGAAAAATAGTATTGATGGGCAACTGGGTTAATCATTAATGTGTTTATTAGACTTATGTTTTTCTCAACCACATATATACATATAATTACAAGATTGTAAATCTGTAATTTCCAAACATGGAGAGTGGATCTTCATCATATAATTTGGTATCTGTTATAACATTTGCTTAAGACAGGCCCAGGGCTGGAGTATTGCAGGTCAGACTGTTTTGTATTACTCAATGGGTGCACACAGTCAGAATCAACGTCAGTAAACGTATCTGTTAGTGCTGCCATCAGAGGTCACCCTTCATGCTACAAAAAACAAAACTGTAAGCAGTACAATGTCATAACTACTGGCAGACCCACTTTCTATGACCAATGCTGCTTAGGGAAGTACTATATACTAGAGCATATTTATCACACTATAAAACAGATCATAGGTAAAATGTTCAGCTAGGGACTGAAAGTTGCTAATAATGATGATGAGAATGCTACTGACCTCTTTTGTAAAGCACTGTGAGATCTACTGATGAAAAGTTCTATATAAGAGCTCGGTATTATTCTTGTTATTATGACTACTACTACTACTAATATTTATACTGCTAGAGTTTAAATTTGAAAAAGACTCATGGAAAAAGAAATGAAAACAAAACAGAGGTAAAACCTATGAATGAATTCAAAAATGAGAGAGACAGGGAGATGAACACAGAAATCAGTTTTAAACAGAACAGTAGAACAAGAAATTTTAAAAAAAGACGAAGTGGATTTCAATGTCACAAGTTTTGTCAAAGGCCCACTTCTGCATTCTCTCTACTCTGGTCAAACTCCCACAGATGTCGACAGGAATTTTGGCTGAATAAGGCAAATTAGGCTAAACTCTCATTAAGCACCATTTTATTGAGGAAATACAGGTCAGGTCTTTATGGGCGTATATGTTTTAAAAATGTGTTTTCTTTTCATATTTTTAAACATCAGAAACAACATGAAGGTCATTAATGAAGGTCATTACTACAGTTAAAACTGCTGAACTGAAGTAAGGGCAGGATGCCAGTCATTTTATCATACCTCAAATACCTTAGAATTGTGGGTGAGGCGCCAAGTTTAGACTTGGTAGAATTCCACTGACTTCGGCAGAGGTGCACCCACTTATATCCTGGTTTGAAGTTGGTCTGAAGAGTTTGTGTGGTGTAAATTTTGTTGGACAATGATTCTGACACACCCTGAATTCTCTGCTATTTTACTGATAGAATGGCTTTATAGAGGCACTTAAATAAATCATATGCCTGCATTCCAAGGCAAAGGTTAGCTGCAGTAGTCAAACAGAAAACAGCTGACACTTCAGAAGGTTACAAGCCACGTACATCATGCAGAGGACATCAAAAAGAGGGGAATGAACAGAAAAGAAGGAAAGGACTTACTTTCCATTTTTATTCCAAACAAAATACCTTTGGGAAAAAAATCAAAGAATTGTAAAGTATGTTTGAGGGAGAGGGTTAGTTTTAATGTCAGTCATGCAGCATTCATATTGGGAGTGTTACAAGACAATGCCACTCAGCCACCAAATTAGCATTAATTAGACCATATACCACCAGTCTTAGAAGAAAGGAAAATGACTGAATAAACAGGGAGACTGACCTACTGTCTCGCCATTAAAGGTGGTCCCACCAGGTCAGATATGAGGGAAGGCAAGATACTGCAACTAAATAAGTGCAGCTGGACTGCTGCACTTGCAAGCTATCATCTGCAAGTTTGGAACCTATGCCTGTAATGATGCTGTGTTCTACATTTTCTATAGGTAAATCACTTTAGTCACTCCAGTATTTTTTGTGAGCACTAAATTCAGTCAGAACCACTGAGAGTGGGCTTTAAAGAGAAAGTTATAAATCTGCAGTTTGGGGTAAGAAACAAACTTGCTACAAAAGTGTAAAGAAAATGGGCCACTCTCATGCCTGGTGTCATTCTACTGCAGCCAGTGGAGTTCTAACAGGGATGATGGTACCAAAGGTCTACAGACCCACAAAACCTTGGAGTGTAGAAATAATACATTGTCTAGTGTGGGGGAGAAACATCCTACAGCAACTACAGCAGACATCTGGATTTATATTAAGGTTTTCATATCATATCTTGTTAGGGATCACTGAAACAGTGTATTATTCTGTCTTGTAATTTTTTAGGTATGAAAATGAATAG